CCCTGATTTGATGTTTGCGTTTGATGCTACGGTACACTGAGTTTATGGATTGTACTGAATAATCAAGTTACTTCCGATTTTTGTTTCTTTTTATTTTTTTTTTATTTTGACCAAGTAAGACCTCAAGCAATGTCATAAAAAAATGGAGATGTCTTTTTGCTAGACAAGCAAAACAAAAAGAGAAACTCAGAGTCCTTAATAAGCGCCATGTTTGTCTAGACTCTAGAAGAGCTAAAGAAATAAACACTTTTTAAAAAAAATAATTAATCAAAGTGTTCAGATTTTCATAGTTACTTTTATTGAAACAGTCATTCATGCTGACAATAATACAAATAATTTTTGCACACTCATGAAGGCGGACACTGCATCCATCCTCCCCATCTTGCTGACGCAATCCTGTATCCACTTTGTGTGCACATCAGGTTTGCACACGCTGTCGAGTTTGCGCCTGGTTTTGTACATGCTAAACCTTTAGAAGATGAGGCCCAGAGTTTCTTACTCCTAACCACAGCGTGCATATCTTTAGATTACATTTTTACCAAGGACAAACTTCGTATTCAAGGTGTTGTCAATGCTTTAGAACCAGTGTTTGGAAAATAGCAAATAACTGAATACATATTTGGCATGGCGCACTGTTTGTAGCCAAGAGCACATTAAAAATTAATGTCAGTTCTCAGTCTACTTTATGAAATACAAATATTCTATTAAATTTCCATTCTGCCCACATATTGGCTATGAATGGTGGGGATCCCTTTATTAAGTCTCACTTGGACCAGGCAGTATTAGATTTTTATCTGTAATCGATGATGATTTACTTATTAGGTTCACTCTTATGCGGTTGTGGTAATTGACGTCACCTTTGTACACCTGTTGATGTGATTCTATACACATCAACACAATAATAATCCCCGTTTTTCCTGAGGCTTCATGCAAACCTCCCTCCAGGTGACTCTGAAAGATTAAAATCGTGGTGTGGTTGTAATCTAAATGCAGCTGAACTGTACAATTGGCCTTGTCACAGACGTAAGATTCGCCAATAAATCCAGTTAAAGTGCCGGCACGCTCTCCTGGCTTCACAGTGTTGCTTTATTTATTTAGGGAAGAACACTTGTTAAGATCAAGATCTCCTTTGCGAGTAAATCCCGAGCATGAAGATTTGTGAGCGAGACGATGGTTGGAGGGTAGATTTCATCACTGCGTTCTCATGTGACGAAAATGAGCCCTCATCCTCTCCCTCGGTCCCACTGCAGCACAAAATGTTGTTTTTAGTTAAATATGTACGTCTCTTATGCTCATATCTTTTATCAGACTGAAGGTTGTGCAAATTACATACTATGGCTCCTAAACAAGTTTTAGTGTGACAAGTCTGTCTTTGCAGTGTTGAAGGAGTGACTGGATGTATTGCAGAAACAGACCCATTTTTATATTGAATACAGACTCAAGCAGTGAACATGGAGTGAATAAATATGGAGATTTTATAAAAACAAAACCCCAAAAGAGAACGCACCTTATTGTTTTGTGTTTGAAGGGAAAGTGATCATATAAAGTTAACTCTTTTCAGCTTTATATCAAATAATAATGCTACTCTCTCATCAAAAACATACCTGGAGTGTCACCTTCATGCTTTTATACATGTTTGAAAACTCTTTAAATCTCCTCTAGAAGACATTCTGTGTCTAAATACTTGCTCTCCTCCTATTCACTCAAAGATCTACCTTAGAGCTGCAGTCCTCAGGCGTTTCCCCGCACCTTTTCCACACGGCCCCACCAGACTAGCGGCAGCAGCAACTAGAACAGAACAGAATAACCTCACCTCCGAGAAGGAATGGCAAGGAGCAGGAGTTCAAAACATTGGTAAGAATAATCAGAATTCAACACGTGCGGCCGAAGATGTTCTTTTCTTTTGCAGTCACAGCGTGTCTAAAACCTGTGAGCAAAATCATGAAGAATTGTGAGGTCTGTGAAAGAAAATCACACGGTTGGTGCAAGCACAGAAAATCAAAGCGGCAGTGCTGTAATCTGAGTGCAGTGTACCTTGAAAGTGGAAAATGCACAACAAAAGAAACGAGAAACAAATGAGCAGGGCCATAAGATTGCAGTTGTGACTGAATTGTGTGAAATTTGTGCATGAAATGTGGACAATATTCAAACAAAACCAACTTTAATCACATCAGTTTTTGCAGCTGAAACAAGACAGTTAATGTTAAGTCATTTTTAGCTGTAAACATACAGGCTCTGTTTGGAGCAGATTTTAAGTAAATGGCACCCTGGTTCACTCCCAAATCCCTCCTTCATGTGTTAAATTTTCCTTTGGCAAAACACCGGGGCCCAAGTTTAGCCTTAAGAATTTCTAGAGTAACCTTGATGATCAAAGTGACAAGTAGGAAGACGTAATCGCAGAGCAGCAAGGAGATCACAGGACTTTGGACAGAAAGGACAGCTTGAAGACGGGTCCATGGTTAACACTCCTTTTATCTGAAGGGAAGCACTGAAGCCATCTTTCATATTGAGAGATTTGTGCCTGATGTAAAGGTTGCATTACAATTTCCGCGTGTTCTGCAGTAAAAGCAGGACGACTGGGATGAAGGACTCATAAGTCAAAGTCGTCTGGTGAGACACTCCTATGTTTAATTGCATGAGTGCCCCGCATACCTGAGAGCTCAGAGGGACAGGGGTTTGTGATTAAGAAGACCACTTTGACATTAACTGCAGATCCATCATCCCAAACGATGCGCCATGCAAAACTTGACAAGCAATTTTTTTTACTCTTAATTACTGATGAATGAAAAAACGGTTTACTATTTTGGAGTGATTTTTGGATTGCTGCTTCCTGATGCAGATACGCATGAGTAAGTTGTTTTTTTTTTTGTTTTTTTTTTACCCTTTTACTAAAACATAAAGACGTGTTTCTTGGTTGTTTCAAGTTCTACCAAGCGGTGTTTGTTCAAAGAACTTTCAAGAAATAGCTTTGTTGCACACAGTGAAAGGAAAAGAGGCTGGTGTTGAATAGATTTTTCAAATCAGGGATTTTCACTGGGAGAAAGGCTCCCAGCAGTGTGAATAAAAGTCCTGGAAAATATCACAAGATTGAGTCGGCAGCGGGGTTAAAAACAAAATTGAGTTTACGCATAAATATTTCCCCTCGTATGTGTGAGTTGTTTACATTTCAGTGTATTATGATAAAAATTTCACCAGTGCCTGTTGGCAGATGACTGAGCATTTGTAGGTTCTATGATTCAGATTAGTGTGAAACAACGTAAATTTAACAGGTTTTTTTTTTCTTTCTCTTAGCTGTTATGAGAGTGGTGTGTCATGATTCGTGTCAGTTTTATGGCATGATGGGTGGGCGTACCGATGCCGGGCTGGTGAGTCGCGGTGACAGATTTTTCTGAGCTGTCCACTCTAATGACTTATAACCTCCAACTTTTTAGTATAGTGTTCAGTGTTTAAACTGACATTTATGGTTCATCCACTATGTTTGTGACTCATCTGTGTGTCAGAGTGTGGACATATCGTGCTCGGTCCATGTATTTTTATTTTTTTCTTACTGCAACTCTAAGATCTTAAAAAAGAACCAAACAGCAGAGGTGAGGTGCAGCACTTTGCAAAAGCGGCCAAACCATTTTAACTTGTCCACTTTGTGTGTCATTTTGTAATGTCAATCAATATGTTGGGGTCTTATGAGACAGACCAACACAAATAAATGTATGAAATATGGCGTGATCTTATATTAAGGCCCCCTATATCAACCATTTGTCCTTTTTTTTTTTTTTGAATAACAGCTCAGAAATAAGGGAAGTGGCACAGAGCAGTAGTGCTCATCCATGTGCAGAGACCTCAGTCCTTGACATGCCTGTTATGGGTTTGAGTCCCAGCTTGTAGACCTCACACACGTCTCTTTCCCCTCACTCACACCTATGTCCTTGTCTACACTATCAAATAAAGACAGGAGCTGAAAATAAAAAGCTCAATGGTCACTTTGGATGGCGAAAATCTGAGTGTGTTATTGCTGGTTCTCAATTGGATTAAGTTTGGAAATTGACTAAGCAACTGAAACACATACGGGGTGTACCACTGGCAGTTTTCTGGCCGATTACCGATCTTTTAAAAAGCCCAACTTACCGATTCCGAGTTTTGGCCGGTGTCAGTTTTTCGTCTGAAATGTTGCTCAATATATCAAGACAGTTGCTGAATTGGCAACAATGGGGCGACTATTGTTAACTGTAAAGGTGAAGACATGAGCTGGTCGGCCAGTTTGCCAGTTAAACCTCTCACAGGAGAGAAGAACAGCACAGTGGTTGATTTTAAATTTTTTTTAGACCTTTGCCCAGGTTGATATCATGGCCATGTTTTGGTACGTTGACAGTTGTGCTGACCCTGCTTTAAACTTCTCTACAAAATTTAGATTGGACTTTTTCCACTGTGCTCTTCGTGTTGCTCTTTTACCTCTGCCAAACCCCTGAGTTTGTCACAGAAGAGCTTTATGTAAACCAAGATTAAGATGGACCTTTTGTACAAATTAGGAGATTTCTGAATACAATTTGCTTTTACGGAATTTTATTTTCAGGTACTGGAGTTGGGGGGGGAGGGGTAGACAGAAAACCACACTTCTTAGATTCTTTATAAACAGCAAAAACAAACAACTTAATGTTTCTTCCACTTTTCTATCACGGTGTTTGCCTATCATTAAATCCCAGCAAGCTCTGCTGAAATGTGTAGTTTTGTGCCCTCTCGATTTCTTTTTTCTCTTTTAGACAAAAAAAAAATAAATAAATAAAATAGCAGCAGCTGGATAAGTCGGGTGTTGAATCCATCCTTCCAACACCAACAAACGCCTCACACTGGTTGCAGCGGGTTAACTTTCTCCCCCCAGTAAAACCAGTGTTCTTATTCCGTATGCGGACCGCGTCCACCTCCTGTGGTGGCTCTATAAATGCAAGCGTCCGGAGCGTTTTCCTTTTCACGCCCGGCCAGCCTCTGCGTGAGGGAGGCACCGAGCATCTCCTTTTTCCGACGGAGAGAAGGAGAGAGAGGGAGAGAGAGAGAAGGAAGGAGACAGGACAGACCTCACCCCGCACCTCAGTCTGCTCTGAACCTTTCCACCAGACCGCAGTGGATGGCTCAACAGCGCAAGATGTGAAAAGAAGGAGGCTTTTTTTTTCTTCTTCTTCCCCTTCAGTTTTTTTTATTTTTGGCAGGCTGCAGGGTGTTTGATCACAGGAGCTCCGCGCACTGAGAGGGGATCAGCTGCCTCGCTTGTTTTTTCTTTTTCTTTTTCTTTCTCTCCTCTCTGCGCTCTTTCCCTCTTACCGGGGGAGGGGGAGAAAGTGGGATGCGGGTTACGCAGCATCACCGGTGACCGTCGTTGCCGTCAGCCTCACAGATATAGATACACCTTCCACTTCTCAGTAAGAAAAAAAAAAAAAGAAAGAAGGAAAGAAAACTCTTTAACCGGTGAGAGGAAAACGGGGGCTTGTTTCTACTGGTGATAAAAGAGAAGAGGGATATTTTTCAAACTCCTTCGGATGTGATTCCCCCCCTCACCTCCCCTTTCACCCCATCCGATCTTATTTTCTGCCTCCGTCCCGTGAAAAGCGGGGAAAAGATCCGATCGCTGTTGGATCTCGTCGCTATCGCTTTTTAATCTGTCCATTTCTCTGTCCTGAGTGCCGGTGGTGGAGAGGAGCTGCGGGAGATCCAGATACCCGAGGAAGTGGTGGGGAGGAAGAGGAGGAGGAGGGATAGGGGGGAGGAAATTGAGTTGCTCTGCAATTACGGGCTTTTTTTTTCTTTTTTCTCGCGGTTCAGCCCGACTTCTGCGGACCGAAGCGCACAAAAACCTCCCGCGCCGAAGTGAGAGGGAGATTGATTTTTAAGCCAAGCGAAGAGGCGGCGGCAAAGGTGAGTCTGTCTAAATGCAGGAATGCGCGGAGTTTAAAAGAATGTCACCTGCCTACGATCGACTCAACAGTTTAATAGTTATTTATGAAGCGATTACTAATTAACGGATGACCGAAGCTGTGAGTTTCCTGCCGGGTCTGAACTGTTGTCTCGCTGTGTGGACTCTGGCCGTGCGCACATTGTTGCATGTCGGGCAGGATGGAAGCCCGTCCTCTTCCTCTTCCTCTTCCTCTGCGCGGCAGCGACAGCGGAGCACAAATCATGAGCCGGCAGGAGGCAGAGAGGACGTCTTGGTCGTGACGGATGTTGGGAGGGCGCGGGCAGAAAGTGACACAGATCGGACTGTAAAATTCATTTCGCGGGTGATGAACAGCAGATGTGTGGCGCATGTTGATGTGACGCTCTGCGCACAGTTGGGAAAGTGGACTTTTTTTTTTCTTTTTCTCAAAACACAGATGTACAGAAGGTGTGTGTGTGTGTGTGTGTGTGCGTGTGTGTGTGGAGGGGGGATTGACTGGATGTTGTCATGAAAAGAGTGGAGGGAGGATATATTTTTGGCACCACCTTGTGGTTTGGTCTGCTCCTTTTTTTTTTTGCTGTGTTGGTGGCATCCACAGGTTACTGGTGTTATTTATAGCATGATGAGCGACAGACCCACATACAGTCATTATGATGTAACGGTATGTTATTATTATTAATCTTCCTAATATTTTTTTCCAGAATTAAATACGCATTTTTCTGATGTTTTGTCTGGATCCATTTGTTTCGATTCCAGCAGTAATTCTATACTAATCCAAATGTCCTTGTTTGAAAATGTGTTTTATTTGCTTAATATGTTGCAGTGAGGATACAGAGCTTTCACCCATTGCTGGCTCCACCTGTTGAGAGCCATTTCAAGGCCTTTTTTTGAAGTAGAAATATTGCTCATTTTGAAAACACAAACAGCTCAGGCTGATTTCAATGATGAAAAATTTGCTCAATTTGCTAGTAGATATCCAAGTTAAGCAATTATTACTAGTGAATTACTGTTTACATCATCTGAAAACTTGTGGGATTTGCTAATCATTTTCATATTGTAAACACTAATTTCAAAGTACAATGTGTTGCTGGAAGTATTTGATCATTTGCTTTCAGTCGCAAATGAACTTGAAAGACATCTCACTCGTAATCCATGAGGTTTGATATGTAGTCTGTGCCTCCTTTGGAGCTACAACAGATTCAACTCTTGTGGAAAGGTTTTCACAATTATTTACCGTTATTCTACATGTGTTTTCAGACACTGATGATTGATGAAAAGACCTGGCTCAGGCCGAGGTCAGGAATCTTGTGATTATGTGCATTCATGCTGGCTTGACAGAAACATGACTGTTTGCTATGCATGGTTGTTTGTCTCTGTGCTTCCTGTGTGATGGGCTGGTGAGCTGTCCACGGTGTTACTGCATCTCTTTCTCAATGAAAGCGAGATAAACATGCCAGCCCTGCAAGGAGAAGTGGGTATGGACAATGTACCTAGTCTGGCAGCTACCAACCAAAGCCTCATCCCCTGAATTGTGACTGTTGTAGAGTCCAGTGGGGGGTGTGCATTATGACTACGCATTGAACCTGACACTTTGCATCGCACCTGGTGATGTAAGGCTTGGATGCAGCTGCTTTGCAACGAAAACTCATCTCCCGAAGCGCTCTATGCACTGTTCTGGAGCTAATCTGAAGGCCACTGTAGGCCTGGACGACTGTGCTATCAACTACATCGTCTTTACAATGCCACTAACGGCTGACTGTAAAATATTTGGTGCAGAGGAAATTTCACAACTGGATTTATTGCAAAGTGGGCATCTTGCCACAGCGCCACAAAGGAAATCATTGAGCTACTGAAGTTGGCCCATTCTTTCACAGGTGTTTGCAAAAGTAGTCTGCATGCCAAGGTAATGGATTTTATATACCAGTGGCAATAGAAGTGATTGGAACACCTGTTTCCATTATTTGGTTAGCCAGCATGGTGTTTTCTATTTTATCCCTTAAAACATAGTGGTAATATGTCCACAATGGTAAAGAATGTACAGCAATATTTCTGTCACGGGTTTAATGATTGCTACTAAATTTCTGATTGCAACTTTGACTTTTTTACTGTTTTAGAGGACTATCTTCATACGTAGAAGTCAGCTTTTTCAGTATCCAAGTTGAAAAAATGACAACTCTTTTTGAAATTGGACTTCTAAATTAGGATGTCAGAGGTTACAGAGCAGCCCCAAGGTTTGTATTGAGTATACCTTCAAATGTATGAAAAGTCAACGTTATAAACTATTAATTAGTAATTAATTTGACAGTTTTGTATCTGTTTAAATCTTAGGCACACATTTCACTTATGACAGTTTGCAAAACACATCGTAAATCCTTTCAGTTTTAGCACTGTCACACGTGCAGCGGTTTGATATGACCACGAGGAAAGTTACCCAGGTTGGCACTGGTAACTTAGTGAGTTACCAGTGCCAACCTGGTGTGTTTCTCTGTTTATTTTACATGTTTTTGAGATTGCTATTTATTTTGAGTGATTGTTTTTTATCCTTAAGATATGAATGAATAAATTATAGAACAACCTTAAACAAAAGCACAAGTGCTTCAAAATGTATTCATAAGAAGAGCTCCTAAGTGCTTTTATTTAAATTCATACCCCACTTAATATCAATTGGTCATTAAGAATCCATATAAAGCCATTGTCCTGCTTCTATATTTCTTCCATTCTAAACATTTATGCTTTCTAACTTTGCAGCATCTATCTTATGTTAACCTGAATGATTATCAACAAGAACCGAGTCCTGTTCCCTCTCCAGCCTTATTTGTCTCAGCACTCTTTCAGAAAAGCACAGCCACATGTTTCCTTTCTGTTTGAATCCTCATGTTGAACACAGGTGATTCAACAACCACCAAGATGAATTCATTCTTTTCCCCAAGAATGAATTGTAAGTTATGCAATACATTGATCAAAAAAATACATTGAATGTATACAGGAAGATAAGCTACCTGTATACATTCCTCTTTTCTCCTGAGGCGTACCCCTTTTTTTTTCTTAAATTTTGATGCTAACCTTGTTCACAAGGAGGCGCTCTTACTCTCAAAGATAGTTCTAATATTAGCAGAAATCAACAACTATGCATAAAACAACACTAAGGTATTAACATAATGAGTTTGGCTCAAACAGTGTTTGTGATTTGGATATATTCCAAGAATTTGTTTTTCTCCAACCACAGTTGCAAGATCATTTTTGTCAAATCAGAAGGTATTTTAGGCATAAAAAAATAGTAGGATGATCAAATCAAGAATAATTCAGTGCCATAATTATTTTGCAGGAACATCTGTTCTGCGTGGTCAAGTTGTTAAAACAGAAATGTTGTGAGATGACAAGTGAAATCCTAGCTTATTTGGGACTCGTCTCTGGTGAATCCACCCCTGAGCTGTTTTTGAAAAACCAACCTGATGAAAAACAGTCTCTGGTTGATAAATGGAGACCATTTCCATGACTAATATAAACAGGCCTAGGCTGTTTTTCTTCTGTATTAGTTTTTCTAGCTTAAAAATGCATATTCAAAAATGCAATTTGAAATCTCTGAATGTTTTTACCTTGCCACTAAAAGAAAAAAAAAAGAGCAACGACTAACAAAACAACGTCGGCTTTCACTGGATTTTAATGTGCGCACAATATGAACTGTTAATATTGCAACCTTACTCTTACAGTGAGTCTGCTATTAAGCAATGGTCAATTTTAGTAATGAAGCTCTGGTTAAATTTTTGCTGAGGGGTTTTGATTGTAGTCCTTCGGATAATTGTATAGTGGTGATGAGCATCCCATCAAAATCTACTCTATTGATCGCCCTCACCTATTCAATAACATTAGCAGAGGTAGATTTATTTCAGACAAAAAGGCCTGAATTTCACCTACATTATTTTAACACAGACATTAATCAAGCAAGCTGAAATCTCCTTTTGTAAGCAAAACAGGAAATAACAACAAGGTGGACTGTATGTTTATGGTATTAGCAAAAGTAACAAAAAAATTGTAAAGTGTATTTATAAATACATTAAACATTTTTTTTACATCATAATATATGTGTTTGAAACAAGATATTTAAACACCATACAACTTTAGCAATTTTTCTATCAATATTCATTACTCCCGAACCATGATACAAGTATCACTGGTGTCAAGTGGACTATGTCTACTGGTACTTAGAAGAGGATCAGTGATTTTCAGGTTAACAAAAATTATTCCCAAGACAATTGCAGTAAGTGCACACACTTTACTGACCAAAGCTGCTTTCAGGAAAAGTGCAGGACTGGAGGTTTTAATGACCCTTGTGGAAACTGAAGTGTCTGGAAGTGATGCAGTTTAACACAAATTATCCCAACCAAGCTTTATTCCTAGAGAAAACTGGACCAGTTAATTTGATTCCATCAAATTTACCTTTAGCTCGCTGTCAGTTTAAGGAAAAAAAAGTAGAAGAAATTGATAAGTCAAGAAAAAAAAAATATTAAATTAAAGATCATGGTGTCTCAGTATTCTGGGGGTAAAAAACAGCAATTGTTAAACCAGCATCTTTTCAGTGATGTGCGGTGAGGTTCGTGGCTGGACAGGCACTGATTTAAACAAAATCATCAGGCCCCCTGCACGTTGTTGTTTATGAAAATTTCATGCGGACATTGAAGGACAAGAAGACTTTAGTGTTTCACATGCCGTCCAATGCCATGATGCCATGGTAGAATAAATCCGTTAACTCAATGAAACTTAGAAATTATTATTATTTTATTTTAGTGCTGTGCTGCAGAGCAAAGGGAAACCCACTGAAGTACAACTCAAAACCACCTCTTTCTCGCTCTCTGCAGCCAAGCTACACGTAGGATAGTTGCATGTAGCTTCACTTATTTCCTGTATGGCCAGCTCACTGTTACTGTATCCTACTTTGCAGTTGTGGAGTCACAATGTCAGGGATCATGAGCGCCCCCTGCCA